CACGTAGGGGACAGACGAGACACGTAGAGGACAGACGGGACATGTAGCACACGCATTGTTTTCGTCAGACCGAATGTAAACAAATGACTAATTGTTGGCAACGAAACTCGACTCATTACAAAAGGTGCCGTGGACGTTTGCGACGGTGGTGCGCAGTTAATAGTTATTTTTATCGTAGTTGACCCACATGTACAAAAACGATGGAAAATAGATTTTTGACAGCTTTGTTGGATTAAATTCTTTTGGAAATTTATTTAGAAATGTTCCGTTCCTGCGCACGTCCAGAGATAATAATTACTTCCAGCTTTCAGGACATCTCCAGGATTCTCTGGCGGACGTCTCGTTTTGGAACGAAACCCTTCGACGCCGTCTTTCTGAACTCCGTTTGAAACGGCGAGGAAGACGTCCTCCTCGTACACCGTGGTCTGCAAGAGTCCAACTAGCTTCAGTCTGATCATTTCTGGGGGGCGGGGGGTGGAAATCAAGACAACTTTGTGAAATTAGGCAACTCTTTGGTGTAAGAAAAGAACATGGACGTCACAACGTTTAAACCCGCACCGTCAGATTTGTGTCCAGCAGTCGTGCTATTTACATTTGGCAGCAATCTGAACCGACAAAGTCTCGTCTCTTTTCAAAATAAAAACAGATGATGCTCCTATATTGACACAAATAGCAGCATATCTTTGCAACTTGTGAAAAAAAATCAATCACACATAAAAAACACTGTCAAGCAAAAACCTCGGACCTACTGTAATACACTGTATTTCTGTAGTATCAAACATATTCCTGCGTATATGCATGTTCACACACACACACATAGGTAGAGGTTAGCATAAATGCATCATGAGTCAAAAGGCAAAAAAAGATTTTTTTTTTAAGTGAAAGATTCAGAAAGAGAGGACCGGCAGCACGGTGTGCAACAAGGTGTTGTGCTCGGGCCTTTCTGCTGGCAGCTACAAATACAATAAGAGCATCCTCACTTCCACTGAGCTGTAAGAGACGCATGCGTGTTTCTATACGCAGTGAGAAACAAGACAAAAAAAAATCTACTTCAGCTACAAAAGAATGCCAAAAACAAGTCTGAGCAATCTTGTATAGATACGACTTTTATCCCAGAAATCTTCAAATTGTAACCAAAATAAACATTTATATTTATTATATTAAGGACAATCTTTGTTTGGCCTGTTGACAACGTCAACAATCTCAAAGGACACCCGAAAGCCACAAACCACGAGACCTTGGTGGGTTTTCCAGTGTATCAACTCATCTGATCCACGATCAATGTAAACTCTTCATCGAGGGTAAACGTGTTCAGCACTTTTTTGCACATTTCTTAGACAAACAAAAAGTAATGCCCGATACAGAATTTTCTTCCTCCTTCTATACACGTATATCTTTTCTCAATAAATATCTACTTCAATGTTAAAATACACTCAAAGTTCCACCTCCACAGTAACTCCTGGAGAAGAATGGTTGGCCACAGAAGACCCAACGACCAGCCCTTATTCAGAGAGGCAACACATCCACCATCTCCCTGTCCAGTTGAATTTTTACTCATCTAAGTGCTTGATGGGCCCCTTCTACACAAGGAATACAACAGAAACAAGTTACGGACATATGGCAGAGGACAAAGTATAAATAATAAACACCATAAAACCAAAAGAAGTTCAAACAATCCTTCAGAACCTTCTGTGTTCGTAGACTTGATTCGTTTTGAAGGATCAGCCTTTTCGCCTCGGTAAGGTGTTTGGCAGACATGATAAAGGGCTGGGGAAGGAAAATGTTTCGTTTTCCTCCATCACAACAGAAAGTGTGCGGATATATATTTATACACGTATGAGCTGTATCCGAGTGCATCCTTTGGGGACAGACGTGGACAAACGTTCTCTCAGGTGAGACAAAGGAGAGGCCAAAGAGCTGCTCCCTCTCCGTCTGCATCATCTCGCGGGCGGTTCTGCTCTGCAGTCGCCCTCTGGTCACTGAAGTAACGCAGAGCGGAGACACAGAGCGGAGACAGAGCGCACCATTCTGCTGAACGTGGAGGAAAATTAAAGAAGATGAATGCAAGAGGACCTCCAGTTCCAGGAGTCCTACAGTCACACACGGCCATCAGAGCTGGTACCACTTCTTATCTTTGTACTTCAGCATCATCTGAGGAAAAACAAACACAAAGAAAGATGTTCACAGGATTTCCCCTGCTGCCTTTCAGTTTTACACGAAGATCTTGTTGATGATAATAAATGATACAGTTGTATCAGATTTTAGCTTAAAATCTGCTAAACTGACTGAGATGAACGTTTGGTGCATCAGCTGGTGGCGACAGTCTGTAGATCATCCAATGATCACTTTCTGAAGGTTTCATTAAAATCCACCCATCACAAGATATTTTGCTAACAGAGAAACAGCGTTGATGCCAGAGGTTCGTGCCGTGAGGAGCACCTGGAGTGTGCTTTGTGAATAACTCTCAGCTACCACCACACCAAACGTTAGTCCAAACGGAGCTATACTCGTTCTGTGAGTGAGCTGGGTGTGGAGGTCATCTTCACATCTTCATCTTTAAGAGTTAATTTTAGACGGACATCCAATGAAAAGTTCCTGAACATCTCATTCAATTTGTTGGGTGGTTCAAGAGATATTTTGCTAACAGACAAAGCTGACTGTAAATGGTTAACTGCAAAATTAATCAGCTCAAGTGTGAATCGGACTCAACCGCCACGTCAGGTTTTAGTTCAGCGTTTGTTCGTTTTTAATGAATTGTAGCGTTTTGGTTTGTCAGGGTCAGTTGGCTTCAGCGGCCATCTTGAGTTGTAGACGATTCATTTCTGCAAGTTTTATTAAAACATGTCCAGTGTTTCTAAATAAATTATATCCAACTTTTTAAAGAAGTGCCTCCACTGTTCAAGACGTTTTTCTTACGTCATGAGCGTGTTTGGAGAACGACTCTGCGCTGGCCATCATGGCTGCCGTCCTCTCCTCCAGCTCGCCCAGCTTCTGGCCCCTCTCGTCCAGAGCGATCCTGGCCCGGGCCAGATCGCCCACGACCCCGGACGCGGCCCCCTTCATGCCCTCCATGCTGCCGGGACCGGGGATGTGCTGGGCTAGGCTGCGAGACGCTTTACCAGCAGTTGTTTCGCCAACTGGCAAAGAAAACCAGAAAGATGCTAAATTACATTACATTTCAGAAAAAACATGATAATGGAACAAACTTTCTTCCAAATCCTCACAACTTGAAATCTACTCAAGAGGATGAGGGCCACGGTGATAAACGTTCTCCTCAATTCTGAGAAGAAATAAATCTGAATTCTGAAATGAAAGTCAGAATTCTGTCGTTTTTCTCACAATTCACATTTAAATCTCAGAATCTGACTGAAATCTCACACGTCCAACTCTTTCCTCATAATTCTGAAAAGAAAATCCAAATTCTAAGATTCATAATTTGATTTTTTATTTAATTATGAGGAAAAAATAAATAAATTCTGATATTAAAGTCAGAATTGAGGAGAAAAATAAAATTAGCACCATGGTCGTAACCTTCTTGTGTAAACGCGAGCGAGCGGCAGAATCTCTGATGGAAACTAAAGACCGGCGTTCGTCTTTCGCCCGTCATGCCAGAGTTTCAGCTCATGTTATAAAGACTTGGGTCAAAGCTAGAAAATAACTGTTAGATATTATGAGATCTTTTGCTTCTGTTAGAATCAGAGTTTGTGTTCTGGATTACTCTCAGCCAACACACCAAAGTTTAGCTCAACATCTGTGAAATTCACCGAGTTGGAGACAACTTGGTGTTTGGAGAGGCCAGTTGAGGTGACCATCTTAAACTGGGCTGACCCCATCAGGTGTAGACGACATTAAACAACTTTTTAAGAGTTTCATCAAAATCTGATCTGTGCTTTCCTAAACGTTTTGATAACAGACACAGTAAAAACATTATCGCCCACGTTTTACTGGTGGGAGATAAGCGCCCTTAAAGCAGAGTGAATGAATTATTTCAATGTGTGCAGTAATGAGGGGCATGGTGGACTCACAGAGGTCCTCCCTGTCCAAAGACTGAGCTCCTCCACCAAAAAGACCTTTGAAGAATCCTCTATTTGGAGCCTCCGGCGTCTCCACGGGGGTGAACAACTCACTGAGCATCTCCTGAGGAGCACAACACTGTCACCACGGCTGTCGGAACATTTTCTGCCCCAAGATGAACACACTGAGCACAGTCAGATTATTATTATTACATCAATGGGATTAAAGAGCACTTTAAAACGATACGTTAAACAACAGAGTGCCAGAGGAAATTGTGCTACTGCTGGTTGAAGAACACGAGGAGGGAAATGTACCAGGAGATAGAGAAGAAGAAAGTCAAGAGTGTAGGACTGAGGGTGAGCTGGCTGACATGATGCCGAGAAGGAAGGTAGATGTTTTATGTGTGCAACAGATGAAGGTGAAGTGCAGCAAAGCTTGCAGCACTGGAGAAGAGTTTAATCATTTATTGTGACATGGAAAGGAAGGGAAATGGAGCAGAGGTGGTCCTGAAGGAGGAGTTTGTAAGGAATGTAGACGATTCAACGTCACTGGAGGAGCCTACGAATCAGCTCGGCTTTGTTGTGGGCGTCACAACGGGTCTCATCAGCACAAGAGCTGCATTCTGGCACCTGCACAGCAGCTCTGCTCTCACAAAAGACACGCCCAGATCTCAAAACGTCTCCAACAGTCACAACCCAGCGAGACGCTGGCTTTACCCTTGTGTCAATGAGAGCAGATCAAATAAATGGGCATTAGCCAACACAAGTTCTCATTTATCTGACCTACCTGTAGGTTGTCACAGGTCTCCTGGCTGTAGGTGATCCTCTGAATCTCAGTGGGGGACGTGAGGTACAGAGCCTGTCCCAAGTTAGAGAAGCAAAACGTTCTTGCTATCCGCATGTCAGTCAGCGGCAGGTAGTTCACGTCCAGCAGAGGCCGCAGACTGGGCAAGCTGGGACCATACAAACGTCAAACAATAAGGTCAAAGCTATAACTACTGAAAGCATCTATACATCTTTGTAGATGCTTTCAGGTAGTTTGATTAAAGATAACAGACTACAAAGAACAGTGAGTAGAAATACCTGAGGGTCATAATGTGGCCGTTGGCACAGAAACAGGCGAGGCAGTAAGCACCGGCCATCTGCACCACGTCAGCCCTCAGCACAAACGACGTCTCTGTGATGTTGTGTTTGTAGATGCAGGTGTGGGAGGGCATGGCCACCACCTTGGCCTGCTTCTCCGAGCACAGCACAGAAAACTGAGCGTCCTGGCCTTCTGATGACGGGGGAGAGGCTGGCCTGCGCCTCCGGCCCTTCTCCTTCTCCTCATCCGAGGCGTTCGGGTCATACCACGTCTCGTAGGAAGGGGGCAGCAGAGATCCAGTAGCGTCAAGAAGAGCCATGGTTAAAATCCCTCCTACAAGTCTGGCCAAGGTGCCTAAAATTAACTATTTGATTAGAAACAGCAATAATACAACTAAAGACAATAAAAACACTTGCTACCATTTTAGTTTACATTTTTGTTTTAGGCTTCAGCACTTTCCTTTGACGGGAAATAAATATTTCTGTTACTCTCCTGACCCATAGTATCCTTGAGCTTTCAGTTTGTTCTTTGAGTAAAAAGAATAAAACTAGAGTACCACACACAACACATTACACGCAAGTCAACACATTATTACAGTTATCTATACCAATAGCCTAATTATCTCCAAGCTATATGAATTCTGAGCAACATTTTTCATAAATTGTGACTCAAAATGATGAAAAATAATTGTAGGCTTGTTACATTTTGTGTTGAACCTTAGTTTTGTGGCCACATGGCAGATGCCACAACTCTTTGCTTTGTAACGAGGGACCAAAAAAATTAAAAATGGTAAAAAATGTTTGATTGAATCAATTCAAATTAAAAAAGTTTGGACAGAAGCAACACAAGCTGTAAAAGTGGGACAAATAAACAACTGGAGGAGCGTTTCACAACTTATTCAGCCGGGCAGTCAGAGGACTGAGTGGATTTTAATGTGTCTGAATCTCAGAAGAAGACTCAGAAAAGAGCATCAGACTCTTACCGCAGGAGGAGAAGCTGACGGGCTGCTGCAGCCGCTGGTCACCGCCCGGTGGCAAACACACAGCCAGCATCATCACAGAGCCCTGGGTGGTGCCCACCAACAGACAGGGGCTGACCAGGCTGTCCGACTTCCTGGGGAAACTCTCACAGAAGTAAAGAGAGGAGACGGCCTCTCGAGACTCCCTGTCTATGCTGGTTACGCTCGAACTCCGCGAGCGGCTGAACGCGTTATCCTTGACATCTGCGCAGCAGGATCGAGGACAAAAGGGAGAGAATGAGGCAACAAGTTGCACCACACAGACGTAATTTAGCAGGTTACAAAGCAAACAGGAAACCGTTAGAGCCACGTTCTGCAAGACATTAGTTGAGCACACCGGCCACCGTCTCTGAACCATTCATAGTCCAGAACAGAGCAAAAGGCTTTTTACACTGAGATGTGTTCCTCTGAACATGCAGGTTTAATTGTGTTTTTCTGCAACTGCACCTGACAACATCCTCAATGTGAAAAATGCAGTAAAGTATAAATGTAGAACAATAAGAAACAAAGAGTAACTGCTTTTCAACGCAACAAGAATTATTTATGCCTCATAGGACTGCAGCAGAAAATAGAAAACTCAAGCAAATTGTGATACAAGCACCAAACTTAGTATGATGATTTTCTTGGAGATATTTGTCAAAACTGCCTGATTGGCCATTGGAATATCCAAGATGGCTGCCAAAACCAGCTTATTTCTACACAGAAATCATATGGTAATATCAACTGATCAATTTAAATGATCTTTGTGCCAGTTAATATGTAACATTGTCCTCTGCAAGTAACACATTCTAGTAAATGAAAAATAATAATTATTTTTAATAAATTTACTATCTTGGATTTTTAGATGGCCACGGAGGATGGAGGAGGCTGAGGGCAGAGTGAGATGAAGGAGGGTGACTCGCTGTGGCGATCCCTGAAGAGGGACATGCTGCAAGAAGAAGAAAGAAGGAACAAGAACAACAATAACAAGAAGAAAGAAGAAGGAACAAGAACAATAACAGGAAGAAGAACAAGAAGGAAGAACAAGAACAATAACAAGAAGAAGAAGGAAGAACAAGAACAACAAGGAAGAACAAGAACAATAACAAGAAGAAGAAGGAAGAACAACAACAACAACAAGAAGAAGAAAGAAGGAATGAAAACAATAAGAAGAAAGAAGGAACAAGAACAGCAAGAACAAGAAGAAGGAAGAAGAAGAACAACAAGAACAAGGAACAAGAACAATAACAACAATAAGAAAGAAGGAACAAGAACAGCAAAAACAACAAGAACAAGAAGAAGGAAGAAGAACAAGAAGAAAGAACAATAACAACAAGAAGAAGAACAAAAAGAAGGAAGAACAAGAGCAACAAGAAGAACAAGAACAAGAAGAACAAGAAGAAGAACAAGAAGAGTTTTTAGATGGCCAAACAGGTAGAGCGAACAACCATGCCAAATTTGGTGCTTGTCTCACAACTAGTTTTAGCTGCTCCACTTTAGCTGTTTGAACTGAAGCCAAAACAAGAAATTAGAAACTTCCCACAGAAAAAACAAATCTACGGCCTGGAGGAGAAAGTTTACATAAATTGACCATCATGTGAGAACCGGTACTTTTCAAGGAAAAATAAACTGCAAACAAGAAAAGCCAGCCCGTCGACACTGAATGCATTCACCATTCCTCAAAAAGAAGGAGACAATAATCGTGAGATGATTAGTGTCACGAGAACCAGTTACCAAAACAAGAAACAAAATAATGCATCGCTGGTCGGGGAAGAGATACGGTTAGTACGAGTTATCCCACTTCAGCCCAAGTCAGCCCATGGCTGGTCCACTTACAGTAGTTGGGTTCTGACTTAGTTCTACTGATGGGCCCCTTCAGGAGCATCCTGGTTCCCTTCTCGTCATCTTTCACACAACAAACATGCTTCTTACACGTCTTAGCGTGCCACCTGTGTGTCCGACGCTCTGAGCCCGGTGCAAACAAAAACAGCTTTTATCTCAAGTCGCAGTGAAAAGACGTCAACACTCGTTTACAGAAGGACTTCACAGCTCTACATCTAAAGGTACTCATGGCAAAGTTTGAAATTAAACGTCTATGTCTGTGAGTGAAGGGAGCAAGTTTATCCACTACCTGGCGCAGTGGTGGAGCCAGAGGGGGGCCAATGGTGGCCATGGCCACCACATATTAATATTGGCTACGCAATATATAAACTAGAAAGCATAGTTTCCTCAAATCATTGGAGTGGCCAGTTTATATTTTATTACTTTTTCCAGATCAATAAATTTATTGTTCAAACATTACCTATTATTTTATCTGCGTAACCAACTCCTAAAACCAAAGCTTAAATATGCAGAAACATAAATACCGTCAGATTTTACCACAGAGATCACCACTGTTGACCTTTATCAGTCACTTTGGCGGTTTCCAAAAGGAAACTAATGCACTCGTTTAAGATTTTTTAAAACATCAATTTTAGAAAAATACTTGGCAGATATTTTATTTCATAAACTTTTTTTCCCACCGGTCTTCATGACTTTGAAATGAGTACCTTTAATATAAACAAAGACCTTAAGGAGCATTATGAAGACCTGTAAAACAAACAAACAAACAAAGATCTTAAAGCTTACCCAGCTCTGGTTTTTGCTCAGTAGGCGAGCTAATTTTCCGTGACATCTTGGCTGTAACAGAAACAAACAGCCTCCATTGTTTTTAGGAAATGACGACTAAAAATAGATTTTTACTCAAATCGATCAAATATCAAATCAGTGTGCCATCATTGATTAGAAATATATAAGTGAGAGCCATTCTTAGGAGGGATAATACCAACTGTAGGACAACTGTTGGGGGCATAAAAACAGAGCTTTCAGTTTATTCTGATCATGAAGAAGCTCTTTCAGTGAGGAACAAAACTAAATATGGGCTGGGCGATAAATACCAAGTACCTGCCACGTCTGGTTTTTCTGTGTGTAAATATTTCATACGAGGATCAGAAACAGAACATGGACTGTAAATTTTAACAGCTACTTTTAACATCTGTGTCTAATTCAGAAGAAGTTTACGAGGTCCCTCAAACACATCCCAGCTCAGGCCCTCAGACATCCTAACGAGTGGTACGCTGATGTTCCCCGGCGCTGAGGGAGCCGAATAGTGAATGTTTGTAGTTTTTTTTTTAGATTAGTGTTTTTCTGGAATGGAACGGATCAGTGATTGAAAGTAAACCTTAATGTTTTTGGTGCAAGATATTCAGGTGGGTAGGAGTCACACTGAAGAACAGAGGGAGGTTTTATTGCTGCTCGTCTGAGGCAGCACAGAGTGACGGATCCTGGAGCGAACAAATGTATCCATCACCAGGTGCAGTGGCGGTGTTAGTGGGTGGTCATCGGTGGCCTTGGACACCATGGATCAGGGTTAGTCAACTAATTTCCTCAGGGGGCCACAGTGACTGAAAGCAAAAGCTCAGGGGCTGGACATCCAGCAGTTATTCTCATTGTGTGTTTTACAATTTAACATCTACTTTTATTTAGAAGTGAACGTATTGGTAGGCTGAACTGAGCACACCCGTGGGCCTGATTTTGCCCCCGGGCCACCAGTTGAATAGCCCTGCCATGGATTAATCTTCGGCCACCCAAATTATTTGAGGAAATTTTACGTTTGAGCACTATAAAAATTTAAAAGCACAGTTGCATCAAATAATTGGGGTGGTCAGTTTACATATACAGTATATGGTGGTGGCCATCTTGGATTGTGACTTGGCCACACACCAAAATGGACGTCGACATGTTGCTTATTTTATAATGTTAACATATATACATATATGGCAGCAACTATCTTGGATTTTGACGTTACAATTCAATTTTTGAAAGGAACCTTCATTTTGCTTAGATGTAGCTACACACCATAATATTATTCAGTAACTCAATTGTATGTCAAGTTATGCTCACATCATACATGAAGTGACAGACAGATATTTCCAATTCTCCCATTTTGCTCCGTGACGGGACAGTGAGGATTTTAAACAGCAGAAATTTAGATTCTTTATTGTGATAAAGCTGTGAAATACTGAGATAATATTTTATTAATCGCCCAGCCCTACTGTAATCAGTTTTAAAGGGGTTCATATGAAAAACTACAAATGATTATGGTCACCACTTATTTTTTCCCAGGAGTGCTGCCTTATACAACATAAAACCCCAAAAGTTGCCTGTTGCAGTATATAACCACCCTCAGAGTGACCAGAATACAAACGAGGCAGAAGCATCACAGAGGACCCTGGACTGTCAAAGCAAGAGGCAGTTGAGAAATAAGATTATAATGCACATCGTTAGGCAAGAAGAGCAGGTGAAGAAGGAAAAATAATGAGCGGATAGTTAACAGATTACACTGAACTGAAGCCCTGAAATCAGAAATACAGCAGAAGTCAGAGTTTAGTTAAACGTTCAAGTGGTTAGTGCTGCAAAGACCAAACCAGGAAGCAGATTTTCTATGCTTTCATATGAAAAATAAAAGTGGATTAAGTCACATGCACTGACCCAGATTCACTAGGAGGACCCAGCTTTATGTTTTACAGATTCACCCTTGATGTCTGCGTCTATGCTGGACTGAGAACTCTTCAAATTTGTAGGCAAGTTCTCGGTTATTCTTCGAATATTCGCTCCAGCCACTTACTCATGTCTTCTTTTAAAAATGATCTAACTTTATAAATATTTTTCTCAAATAAATACGTGTAGAAATCTTTGAATCCTTCAGAAAAAGTCACCTTTGAAATCTGTTTTGGCAAGCTGGCTGCATTTTTGTCTTCTTTAGCCATTTTTAATTTTAGCTAGCACTTTGTGCATTTTAGCTTTTGGCTAAATTTTGCAACTTTTGGCTAACCCTTTGATACCTTTAGCTGAATTTCTGCCATTTTTGTAATTTCTCCAGCAAATAACCAGGTCAATTAGGACTCCGCATTTACACTATGTTTTAGCCCAACTGATCGGTAGGGCCGATATTTTAGGCCGTTATAGACGTTCGGGAACTTATCGGTATCGTGATAATTGTCCCATTATGTGCAGATATAAGAAATGATTTTCACCCCTAAAATGCTGAGAACAAGCCATAATTGTACAATGTATCCAGCAAAGGTAGCATGAAGACTACTTTCAAGTCATGGCCGTTCACTTAAGTTTCAGTTTCAGAACAGCCGAAACAGCGAGCAATACTGTGTAGCATGTTTTGCTAAACGGAGCATGGCAAGTTCATTTTAACTGATCTGTAAAATAAATCAACAACAAATTCTCTTCAATCCTCCAACTTACTTGACATTAGCTACACGTCTCTCAAGTCTCAAGTTCGTGCTGCTGTTCGGCGTATTGTTTTTATTTTATGCTCATAGAGCTTGGTGTATTTTTAGTTCAGTAACATTATCTTTGTCGTTCTCAATGAAATGTGTCATTTGTCTGAAATCTTTACTTCTCTACAAAGAAAAATAAACTCTGCTGCGATCAATACTAATTAACCTTCACCATATGTGACTGTTTAAACAATGAACAGGTATATTTTTGTAACACACTTGATAACTCTATGTTAACTAGTGGAGGATAGAAAATGTGATCGCTCGTTAGGAAGACTGTTTTTATGACCAGCGCTCCACTTGTAAACCCACTGTGGGACTACGTGTAGGTGGATCTGATTAGCTTAGCTTCATGGTTGCTAACAGCTGTGCTAAATAAACAAGCCCCGCTCCACTCGCTGTTTTCTTACATTCTTGGGGGAGGACAAAGATCAAACATTTTCAGGCATTATATCGGTTATCGACATTCACATTCCACCCACAATACTGATACCAACAATCGCCAAAATTTCCACATCGGTAGGGTTCTACTGCATTTAACAGAAATGCTATTTGTTCTAGTTTACATAAATATGGTCATGTTTCTCTCTGTATTGCGTTAGGGGTAGATGGTGAGTTTAAAGAAACACTCGCAGTCCAGTTAAAGGACGGGTGTTTGTGGTGGTGGAGGGGGTTGAACACTCAAAGAAAAAGATTAATCATCAAATTTGAAGAGCGTTTTTTTATTTATTCATCCTTAAAAGACACGAGGACTCCTTCAGGTGTGATCAGAGTGGGTGAGAGCAGCACGTTTGTAGAGCAAATCTTCACTTTGGATGAATGTGCAAAAGTTCAACTCTGTGATTTTGGGTCTCATTGGTAAATATTTTATCCACAGTTGTAAAAAAAATAAACTGCATAGAAAATCTGAGTGCTTAAATCTAAAAGACATGTCATGCATCTGACAAGAGCACTTGAATAATTTTACAACAGCTGTTAAACCCCGTGGGATCAGTGAAAATCCACTGACTGAATGCAGCTCTTTCTTGCACTGATTGGCAGAGGAGGCACAGGAGGTTAGAGCACCGTCATTCAGAGCCAAGAGAGAGGAATCACAACGAAAACACGAGGAAGATACAGTACCAAAGTCATTGGCAACCGTCTTGGAAAAGCGTCTGCTTTTTAACTTCACTAGAAATAAGGTTCAAAAACACAAATCAGATGTTTCAGACATTAGTGAGCTGCTAGAATTAAAGGACGTGTGCATTTTAAATGAACAGTACCCTTCTCTATGAAGTTCTGCTTTCGCTCATCGTCTGAATTGCACGGTGAGTTAGATCCTACGTGATGAACAGCAACGTTTTATACAAGGTGTGGTTTAAAACTAGAATAAAATAAAACGGGGGGGGGGGGGTGGCGACGTTAGAGAGGCCTACCTGAAGTGGGCGACTTGCATCGGTCCTCCGAGTTATTTGAGCCGTCGTTGGATTCACAAAGTCCTGCAGGAGTCACGCACGTTGACATTTAAAATATAGAAAACGTTCAACTCCACAAAAGTCACTTGCTACACTAAACTAGTCACCTAACTGAAGAATGGAAAGGATTGCTACTATTTAAATAAAAAATAAAAACAACACTTAAATCTAGTACAAATCTTTGTAATTCCATGCGTCAGTATCGTTTGTCTAACACACAAAGCCAAAGAAAGATACACAACCAGATTTTGTTTAGGTGCTCTCAAGCTACAAATACTTCTCCCACTTTACTGCTGAGAACTGGAGATATGGAGCTCCTGTGTCAAAACCATGGAGTGTACCCAAAGTCCAACACCCACTATTACAGTCCAAAGTGTTCTTAAGTTCTTATGTCCCGCCCGCTCCCCTTGCAGGCCACAAGTGTTCAATAAATGTAAGCAAACAAACAAAAGAAACAAACCACTGTGCACATGGCTAATGATTACAGAAGGCTGATGATGTCAGCTAAAACTAAGTTTTGAAAACCAGTTTGCGTTACTTTTCAACGTTTGCCACAGAACATAGTTATTTATGTCTCCATCATGTTTCGCAGGATGTGCAATGTGAATAAATGGTGGGTGTTGGACTTTGATAAGTCAAAAAGCTTTCAACAATAATGAAGTGAGAAGGAAAAAGTTCTGACATAACGGGACTTACTGAAGTGAGATGAGCGCATTTTTTTCACGGACTGAGAATACAAGTTAGAAAGTCTGGACATGTAAGACGTAGCAGTTGGACAGTCTTGATCAGATCACAGAGAGAGACAAAGGAGTGAACAGTGAGACAGAAAATAACAAAATCAAAAGTGCAAATTAAAAAACAGTCACAGTGGCTTGCTGCTGAACTTGTAAGTGCTAAAACAAAAAAAAGTGTTGTGCTATTATCAGACTGTGTTTTGCATTTTAAATACAATAAACTTGGTTTTAGTTTTCAGTCATGGGAAAATTAAAGTCCACTTTTTTCCTCCAATTCTAGGGTTTTATATATCAGGACGTAATAAAGCTCCAGGTTCTAAACTTATTTTAATCTAACCTGGGGCACAAAAACACCCAACACATTCCACCATGCCAGTTGTTGAAAACAGAGTCAGTATACAACAGTAGTGGTATACTTTTAAGCAATTTAAGAATGAAAAAGCAGTTTCCTCAAATGATTGGGGTGGTGGTGGCCATCTTGGATTTTGACATGGCAACCCAGTTTTTGAAAGGAACTGTTCTTATGCCTAGATGCAGCCACGCACCAAAATGGAAGTTGGTACCTCACTCATTTTTCAAGTTATCAAGCTCACAACAGGCAAGGATGGACAGTATTTCCAACTCCCCCTCTTGGCTCCACGATGAGGGACAATCATTTTAGAACCTGGTAAAGATCAAATTGCTGATTTGTAAAACCTTAGAACTGAAAGAGGATGGACTTTCTTCATTCCACGACTATAATGTCAAATTTAGCAGCCAGCTATTGAGACAAAAACAATGAATTTGTGACAGAATGATTAGACAGAGAGAGGATGAGCACAAACAACAAAGGGGACATGACTAAAGAACAAGGCTGTAGACACAAACATAAACAAGGATAATGTTTTTTTTCTGCAGCAGATGATCATTTCACAGCAGAGCTCTTATCTGCAGATTACCAACGTGCACACTTCACTGTCGTTGCACCGTCCTACTCAACAGATGGAGAATCTGTCGGTGTTGCCCCCTGTTGAGGGGGAGAAGCTACTGCAGGGTGTGCTCGTGGTGTGAAGTCAGGGCAGCTGCCAAGAGTCAGCTCTGCCCCACCACTCCACCTGATGAGGTTCAGCAGCACAAAGGGATAAGAGGGCGGCAGCAAACGAAGAGCATCGAGCGTTTCTCAGGGAGATTAACGGGAGCCGGAGCACGTGGGAGAAGTTGCACTGCAGCACTCGGGAGGAAAGCACAGAGAGGTGGAAGTGGTGGAGTGAGGCTCACCTCCAGAGGGCTGCCGTGGGTTACGTGGGGAGCGTGGCTGTCTCTGGCATGGGTCGGATGGGCTGTACAGCTCCAACGTGCCCATGTTGAACAGCAGGGTTTTCTGGAGGTAGTCCACCACAGCCAGACCGTTACTGTTTCCAAACACCACACTGGGAGACAGAAGGTATGAGACTCTAGCAAAGCGCCACACTTTCAGTCTACCTCTTCAGCTGCCTCCGTTAGGACAGGATGTAATCCAAGAGCCTCGACGCACTCAAAGTTAGCATAAATACAGAAACAAGCGCCGAGATGACGCTGCAGGCTTAGAGATGCTCAAGGCTGTGCAGACTTACAGGCTGTAGGAGGAGTTGAGTGCCAGGCTGGTGATCTGCTGAGGCGGCTCCCCGCTCACCCACACCAGCTGGATCACCAGCTCCACCTGGTAGCCCGGAGACTGCTTCAGCGGGGAGCTCCGCACCCTGCACCAAACACACAGCGGGGTGAAGCAGTGAATCATCACCCTGCGGGCAGAGCCACGCTGACTACAAAATCATTTCTGCTGCCGTGGGTCCTTTCCTACCCATTACTGTCAAAACGTTTTCAGAATATCCTGACAACATCAGAGTTTTAGACTTACTTTTACTAAGTGTGTAAAACTCTGGGGGGTAGAAACTGATCACTACGTCTATTACTTTTATAGATTTTTAAAATCTAAGCATAACAAAGTGCAGCGCTTCAATGAGACTGTTAGCAATAAATAAAAAAGAAAAAGGCCGTACAGAAGGCATGGTATATTGTCTCGGGGCCCTTCAGAGGAGTTGCCGCCTGTGGAGAGCTGGTTGGGCGGCTCGGCCTCCTGAGGGCTGCAGGGAGCTGCAGAGGCTGGCAGGGTGGGAGTCTGCTCCCCTCCTCGATCAGGGGAGTCCAAGTCATTGAATTCACACGGCATCCGTAACTCCAGGAGCTGAAAGAAAGAGGGCACACGTTACTGGACATGGGAAGAAAAAGGAACGATTATGACCCATTTACCAGCTGGCTGAGTGAAACACAAGTTGAAGGCCGAGCATCCTTTGAAGGAAGCGGACCTCCCACTGCCTTTCATGATGGAGATCATTTTATGTGGAAAAATTGAGTTCTGGCCATTTTGATCAGACTTTTGTCACGGGAATGTGTATTATTTACACTCACCATGCTCCACAATTTTACTATTTACTATGATTAATGTATTTATACACTGCTCTTTTACTGTTATCATGAATGATATCAAATGTTCCATAATCCGTTCTCCAAGTAATAATCAGTCTTCATGTGAGCGGTCAGTATATGATATGATTACTGTGACATTGAGAGCTGTCTGACTTCCCAGATTTCCTCCCGTTTCTCTCTGCAGCTGGGTTCTGATGACGCTGGACAGGCCGGGGAGGGGCTGGAAGTTTCTACAAAACTAATTTTTCCTGTTAGGAAGTCAGAACGGGTCAGAGCCTCAGACAGGTGAAAGCGTTGATAAGTGTGAACCTGTAAATGCATTGATCTTCTGTTCTCCAAAGCTTTGCAATAAATCTGTTGAAGCCTACGCCTGGTTGTTTTGGGAATCTCTTTTTTCCCCACAACAATTTCTAAATGAGGTTACGTGGAACACCTGGAAGTCCCTTTAACTTTATGACAGTTTATGACAGGAGAAAACTGACCACCTCACTTAACTAATTAAAAATACCTTTTTTAAACAATAAACTTGTCAATCTTCTAGAGCAATATCAGACTGAAATAAAATTATCACACTGAATTAGCTTTTTAAAATGTTAACTCTTTAGTAAAAACAACTCCATATTTCATTTTTTGAGCTTGATGGTCAGTGCCGCGGTAATCCGGTAATCCTGTAATCCGGTAATCCTGTAATCCTGAGGTTGTAGTTTGAGCCCAGGTTGCGTCAAGTTCGTACTAGATGAGTAGAACTTGGGAGTTTGTGTTGTGATAATATTTCTGATGGTTTCAAGTGGTTCATGAAAAAATTTGCAAACAGACAAACACAGGCAAAAACTTTATCCGCGCCTTAGACAATTACTGGCAATGGTTTTATTTCACAATTGTGATTTCTTTAAACGTGTGTACCCACCTGAACAACCTCAGTGGTGACTTCCTGTTTGCTGAACCTGTAGATGATCACATGAGCAGACACTCCGGCCACGCACAGCATCCGGCTCTCAGGGCACCAGAACAAGGTCTGGATGGCAAACGGGTCTTCGTCGACTATGTCTGCGTTTGGCTGCTCCTCCTTACCGCGAGCCCTCTCGAACACTTTGGCAGTCTTCAGCTTGTACAGCACTTGAAGCATTACTTTGAAGAAAGATACATCAATTAATAAAAACACCCGATGATGCACTGTCACCTACATGGAAAACTGCTTCAAATAAGAAACACAGAAAAGTTGAAAATGTTTTAAAGCTAAACTTGTAGATGTCAAGTGCATTTAGAGAACAAGAAAAAATAAAAGCTCGAGGGCGAGAGGTTGGGACAAGAACATCTGCACACACTAATAAAACAACTTGAAACAAGCGGTATGCTGATGCTCCCCATCACTGAGGGCTTTGAAGAGTGAATGTTTCTAGTTTTCAAGGGGAGTGATTTCTGGAGAGGAATCTAACAGGGAATGCCAGTAAACCTAAATGTTTTTGGCGCAAGATGTTCAAGTGGGTAGAAGTTCCACTGCGCAGAAGAACAGAGGTAGGTTTTTTTTTTTTGCTTGTCCGAGGCAGAGTGACAGATCCTGGCGAGCAAAGAGAGCAATTTTATCCACCATCAGGTGCAATGGTGAAGCCAGGGGGTGGCCAATGGTGGCCTTGGCCACCACAGATTAATCTTCGGCCACCCCAGTCATTTAGGAAACTATACTTTTAAGTCAAATAAAAACTAGAAATCATAGTTCCCTCAAGTGATCGGGGTGGCCGGTTTACAAATAAATATTTTATATATATATATGTGTGTATGTATGTATGGTGGTGGCCATCTTGGATTTGAAAGTGTAAACCTAATTTCCAAAAGGAACCTTTCTTACCCCTAGATGTACCCATATACCATAATGGAAGTCAGTACCTCACATATTTTTCAAGTTTTCACACTCTCAACATGCCCAGACGGAGGGTATTTCCAACTCCCCCTCTTGGCGGTGACCATAAATGATTGAAAAGCAAAATTTTAGTTGTGGTTCTTGAGGAAATGTTAAAGAAATCTGTACTGCCTCTTCACCAGCTCACAACTGAGAGCACTTTTCGACTGTTTAGTTTTGATTTTGTCCCAAAAATTAACAATTATAACAATTATATTTAGTATAATTCATTTATCAATTTAAACATAAACAAATTAGTTTTTTTTTAATCCAACACCTATTCAGTCCTAAAAAATACTACAACTTCAAGACATTTTATTTTTATTTATTTTTGAAGCACCAAAAATGTCTTAAACATCCAAATAAAACATTAAGCACTGACTTGATTGATTAGCACTATGTAACAAAATATTTCCAACAAACAAAATAAATGGTTTTAATGTACTCACATGCAGAAGCATCCCAAAATTTGATTGACCCATCAGCGTGACTAAAAATAAAAAAAGTGGCAGAATATTCGAGTGTGAGATTAAAACCAAGGAACAATAATACATTTAATATTTCTATAAATACAAACCCTGTGATGATGATCTCTGGGTAACTCTGAGCGCCTTGGCCCCAGTTTCCACCACTAACAGGCCATTCCTGAAAATAAAAGAAAACTGATTTAATTATGGACGAACCGTAACGTCTGCTTCTGTTTTTATTCGTTTATTTGCTGATTCTGCCACAAGCTTCTCTCTCATGGGTTTTCTGGTTAGACAATATGTCTCCAAAACTAAAAGCTCAAACGTAAACTGCAGCTTTAGGATGACAAACAAATGTTGGATGTCTACCTTCTTGCTGTAACCTTGTCGTTTTTGTCGGCTGCCGACGGAGTAAAGTGCAGGAATGAGTTCAGCAGGACAGTCGGCAACGTACTCGCAGCAGGTCACAGGAGACTCGTGGATCGACAGAGCATACGGACTCTCAAATATCGGGTACCTGTCATGGCATAACGCATCATCATACACAGCTTGAAGTTGCCTGAAAAACTGGTGTACAACAATAATAAGATAATTAAAAAATACTACTAATAATAAAACAATGAATTACCCAATTTGCCCAAGGTCTATTACAACTAAATCCTTCTCGAGGAGGACCACCACTGCATAAGGCTCCTGAAAATCTGAACAAAACAAACGTGACTTCAGTGTCGTCACACGGCCATGTTTGTCTGGACCATGTTCAGTTCTCACCATTTGGATAAGGAGTTTCACATAACGTTAGAAAATCTACAATGGGATAGTCCATCTCCAGGACAGTAGTGCTCTTTCCGTGCATCACAGTCAAACAGGCTCTCCTCCCCACGGTGTCGTACGACAGACCACCGGACAGGACCATGAAGGGGTCCCTGAGTTTTGCCAAAACAAGCACAAAGTTCAGATCAGAGTGTTTAAATACATTTACATAAGTGTAATTTTACAACTATTCTGTCCAGGCAGTGGTACAAACTGAATTTACTGTTGTGCTTTCTCTGGAGATGATTTGGCCTCATTTCAAGAGGCTCTTTGAAATGAGGGGACTACTTTTTAATTATAACTAATTAATCCTTGGCCTCAAATACTGGAGGGAAAAACGGGATGATTAACTAGATCAGGTTCAGTAGTGTTGTCATTTTTAGGACATAGTTTTATTAAGTTTTCTCCTTTTAAAACATCAGTTCTGAAGAAGTTTGGGCAAAGTGTCAAAAATTAATAACAGAATGCAATGATTTATAATTTTTATAATCTCATATTTTATTCACAAAGAACGCAGCGTCACTGTTGGGCAAATGTTTTTTACCTCCATTTTTCATAATTTTCACGTTTTTGCATAAATCAGCTTAGTTACACCTCTTAACAACATCAGTCTGTTTTCACAAAAACAAGGTTACATTGTGTCATCAGATTCTCATTGGAAGAAACGTTTCGTCTTTCATCTGAAAGACTTGGTCAGTCTGAGGCCTGCCAACATAATCTGTTGTATAAATAGCTCCTTGACGTGTTTCAAGCCAGCCTGCTGAGGAATTCCCAGAAAATCGGCTTAACACGTGCATAAAGGACCATCAGTCTAAACAAGTGATCAGTGCATAACTCCCGCCTCTCTCCCAATGAGGAAGTCTGCGGCCCTATCAGAGATCCGTTTGAATAAACGTGTCATCATTTCAGGACTCTTGGATTCTCTCTGGCGCTGTCCCAGGTCGACCTCGGCACCCCCGACAGTGTTTATGGATCTCACCAGAGGGAACTGGCTGATTATACCATTCTTATCAGAACTCCTACAGTGCGTCTGGAGTGTCCTTGGACACGCTCACTGCCCTTGTCGTCTTCCCTCCACTATGAAATGTCTGCGTCGCTATGTGCTTATGTGCAGGGTGTTTTTTTTATTTCAAGCCATCTTTCCTCGGCCAAGGAATGAGAGTCTGTTAGGATATTTTTTGCTTCCAAATCCACGACATGTTGTCACTTTCGTTACTTTTTAGTCCGTCCAAACAGGTCTCACTTGTAAACGAGTCTTCGAGTCTCAATGTGATTTATCTATATAAATAAAGGTTGAATGAATGAATGAAAAATAATCAATTGTTTTAGGCCTGAAGGCCACTTGCTACTCTCTGAACCAGCTGAGGGCAAACAAGCCAAAATAGTTCCTAAACAGTATGTAATGTCAAACATCCATCCAACACGTCAATAAGGTGCTATTTATACAACAGATCCTGGTGCAGGCCTCAGACTGACCAAGTCTTCAGATGAAAGACGAAACATTTCTTCCAATATCCTGATGCATGCTCAATAATCCAGGTAGAAAAATCCAAGAAAGTTCAATCTGGTCCTCTGGACATTCAAAAAAACAAAAAACAAAACAAAGCAAAAAAAAAAATGTAGAAACGTTTCGTCTCTCATCCAAGAGACTTCCTCAGTCTGAGCTGCTGTTTTCAGCTCGGTCTCTTAAATAGCACCTTCTCAGAGTGGATCAACCAGTTTTGCTGCTGACAACCAAAACCAGCTGATCACATGCTCAAGAATGAATGTCCAGAGGACCAGATTGAACTTTCTTGGATTTCTTCCAATGAGAATCTGTCCAGATAACATGAATTAACCTTTTTGTGATTTATTTACCTGGGTGATTGAGCTTACACACGTTATTTTTTAATATAAATTGGTCCGTTTAATTAAGGCTATAAAAAATCCTAAAAGATACCATACCACTTTGTTAATTTTTTTATTAACCTTTATTTAACCAGGCAAATCTCAGTGAGATCACAGATCTCTTTTACAAGGGAGGCCCGGGCCTGAAGGCAGACTAACATGCATGTTTTTGGTCTGAGGGAGGGAACAGGAGTACCTGAAGAAAACACACGCAAGCACAAGAAAAACATGCAAACTCCACCCAGAAAGACCCCAGGATCAACTGGGGATTGAACCCAGGACCTTCTTGCTGTGAGGCAACAGTGCTAACCACTGAGCCGTCATGCTGCCTTTTTATAGAGCACTTAAAACTGCAACGAGGCCAACCAAAGAGCTGTACAGCAGAACAACGATCTTGTGAACTTGTTTCCAAACTGTTGTTTAAAAAGAAAGACACCTTTTTCCCCTTGTCCTGAAAAGTATCTTTTTTGAAAATACAATGTTTTTGACCAAAAGCAACCATGAAAACATTCAAATGTTTAGAGATGTCAAGGCAAGTGACCTAGAGGAAACACTGTGTTATAATCAATTCTTGATTTCTTGTTTGAGCTCCGCTGTATTTGGACCGGTGAACCTCTGCCCATCTTTACTTCTGAGAGGTTCAGCCTCTTTAAAATGCTCTTTTCATACCAAGTCCTCTTACAGACCAAATAACCTTAATAGTTGCAAAATGCTCCTGCAGCTACATCTTATTTACACCGCTCACTTTTACAACCTTTTGTCGCCCCTGGCCCAACATTTTTTGGACGAGATGTCGCCATCAAAGTCAAAATTACATTTTTGTTCTTAAAATAGTACAATATTTTAGTTTAACAACAACAAAAAAGTTAAATCATGTCATCTGGACATGTTTACAATGTTCCATTGTGAATGAAATATGGGTTTATGAGATTTACAAATCACTGCATTCTCTTTTTATTTACAATTTACACAACTCCCCACCCTCTGTGGAACTGGGGTTGTACTTGGACTTGGACACAAGTTTGTTCGACATCAGCTACAGTTATAGGAATAACAACACGATTAACACCTGAGAACAAAACTACAGAACTGTCCATGTTCCAGTTTCCATCTGTGAAAAGGTGCGGTCAACAAGACGGACCTGTTTGTTCCAGAACAACAGGAAAGGAGCAGGACAGAGACACAGGATTGGTAGGAAGTGACTGATCACACTTACCCAGCCCTTGTAGTTTTGTACTCCACCTTCAGGATAGGTTTACATGGCTCTGGCTTTCTTCCATCCTTAGGCTGTTTTCCTGTTGCAAGTCAAAGAGCAAAGTAAACATTAAGCTTCAACCTGCACAGGACATATGCACATTTTACACGTTTGTCCCTCCTTGAAGGGACTATGCTTTCTGCACGCATGTCTCTTTGTTCGTATAAACGCATAACCCAAGTGTAGGAAACGGCTCGAACCATGTGGTGTGATGATCTGTCCGGGCTTGGCTGGGACTCGAACATTCCACGTGGTCAGCGTGCCATCGGAGTGGCTGCAAACAAACTGTTTCCCCTCGTGGTGCCAAGCCACCGAGTGGATTGCCTGAGAGTCACAGCAACACAACGTTAGGCTGCAAGACATTTAATAAACCCAAAGAACACAGAAGATAACACATACAAGGTGCGCAATCCTAATTTCATTAATAGCATTTAATGCTGGGTAGCAAGTGTTTTAAACTATATGCTTTCTATTTACACACACGAAACCATGTCATGCTACGCTGGTGAAGATTCTCAGCCGTCCAGGACATGCAAAAAATAAATAAATAAAACTCAAGACAAAAAGAACGGCACTTTATTTGTAACAGAAGACGCTTCGCTTCTGATCCAAGGAGCTTTTCAAGAATGATTAAAGTGTAGCTCTACAACGGACGAACGTTTAAAACCAACTAAATTCCTCCACACAAGAAGATCCAAGGCTGCGTTCACACAGCAGGTCTTGGTGCTCAGATTAGATTCATTTATTTTTTTGCATGCTTGTGCACATCATTAAAACGAGACCTCCGTCAGACTCCAGAGAGAACCGTTTACAGTTCTGAGGCGCAGAAGAAACGTGACGTCACACGCTGAGCTCAAGGAGGGAAGTATGGATGCTACACACGTTAGTAGGCCCGTCACAATAACATTTTGCTGGGCGATTAATTGTTTCAGAAATTATTGCGATAAACAATAATATTGTTTGAAATTTGACAATAATTAGTAATTATTGTCAAATTTAAGAAGAGATGTTGGTTAATTTGTTTTGAGTGTAGTACCTTTTTCGACCACCGGATGGCAGTTTGAACCAAAGGATGGATAGTGAGGGAGTGAGCAGCGTGTCTCTAAGAAACATGGGAGGGAGACCCCTTGACGTGACATGGGCTGTCTCTCCTTCCCGTTATTCAGTTTTCAAAATGGCGGACGCTCGGTGTGGTTTGAGCTCTTTAGCATTTGTCACACAAAGCTTTTAATAAAAATAAATCAGTAAACAAGTTCTCAGTTTCTTTTTGCAGAGAAAAACAACTTTTTACACCAAGGCACGAGTTTCAACCGTGAATTTTGGAGCTTGGACAAGACGGAGGTTCCCCCCCCCCCATTTGTCTGTAGTGTTTAATATATATTTGTATTTTACTTTATCGTTTCACTAAATCCGATTTACATTGAACATAAATAAATGCAAAAATATCTGAGAGGCCAGACAAAAATCTATTTCAGGTTTTGAGACAAAAAAATAAATAAATAACACAACAAACAAAACACTTGCACATAAATTTAACCAGATCAAATAAATATTTGTGACAGCTCTCGCTCTCAGTAAAAACTAAAGGAAAATAAAACAAGTAGTGTCTCACCTCATCATAACTGTAGCGGTAGTCGGCTTTCTTGGACTTTAAATCCCACAACACGACCACCCCGCACTCAAATCCAATCAAAAGCTGTAATAAGAAGAAAACAAGCTCAGAGTTAACAGGATTTAAAGAGCATGCCCATAGAAGTGCGAGTCCACGCTGCCATAGCATGGTGATAAATACACTTCTTGTAACAGTTTAAGTAGTAAGAAACATCATGAAGACCAAGGAGCCTTTTGCACAAGTCTGAGACAAATATGATGAAAAGTACAGCTCAGGGGACACAATTGTGAAGTGGAATGAAATTTATTGGATGTGTCAAACATTTTTAACTAAAAAACTGAAAAGTGGGGCGTGCACTATTATTGGGCCCCTTTACTTTCAGAGCAGCAAACTCACTCCAGAAGTTCAGTGAGGATCTATGAATGATCCAATGTTGTCCCAAATGACTGATGATGATAAGTAGAATCCACCTGTGTGTAATCAAGTCTCCGTATAAATGCACCTGCTCTGTGATAGTCTCAGGGTTCTGTTCAAAGCACAGAGAGCATCATGAAGACCAAGGAACACACCAGGCAGGTCCGAGATACTGTTGTGAAGTTTAAAGCTGGAATTGGATACAAAAAGAATTCCCAAGCTTTAAACATCCCAAGGAGCACTGTGCAAGCAATCATATTGAAATGGAAGGAGTATGAGACCACTGCAGATCTACCAAGACCCGGCCGTCCCTCTAAACTTTCATCTGGAACAAGGAGAAGACTGATCAGAGATGCAGCCAAGAGGCCCATGATCACTCTGGATGAACTGCAGAGATCTACAGCTGAGGTGGGAGAGTCTGTCCATAGGACAACAATCAGTCGTACACTGCACAAATCTGGTCTTTATGGAAGAGTGGCAAGAAGAAAGCCATTTCTCAAAGATATCCATAAAAAGTGTTGTTTAAAGTTTGTCACCTGGGAGACACCAAACATGTGGAAGAAGGTGCTCTGGTCACATGAAACCAAAATCCACCTGTTTGGCCACAATGCAAAACGATATGTTTGGAGTAAAAGCAACACAGCTCATCACCATGAACACACCATCCCCACTGTCAAAAATGGTGGAACCAGTACTCATGGTGCGACTAAGAAGGGCATTAATCAAGGAAACATCCAGGAGGACACAGTGACTATGATGGAGCTGATAATAGTCATATCTGTCCACAGGACCAGTAAAACACAAGATAAATCCTGGAGAGAAAAATTGTTGGGAGTCATCCAGAGATTTGAGACTGGGACAAAGGTCCCCCTTCCAGTGGGACAATGACTGACACACTGGTGAAGCAACACTCCACTGGTTTAAGGAGATCTGGTTAAAGATCCTGGAATGGTCCGGTCAAAGCTCAGACCTCAATCCAGCCAAGTTGTTGATTTGATTTAAAAACTGCCGGGCACAAGCAGCACCATCCACCTTACCTCTTTTATTTTCAATATTCTGAAGTATTTTTGTACCTTTATTACTTATAAACAAAAGTAATTTTCAGGTTTTTAAGCAATATAAAGTATACCAGGAGGGATGAATACTTTTACAAAGCACAGTAATTAATGTGTTTGCCTAAAAACAAAACCAGAATGTGCTTTCTCTGCATGCAGCGTCTGCTTCTGTGCACCGGTAGATACCCAAGGGCATCACAGACCCGTTATTGCTCAATAGACTGTGATGGAACGCCTGTAACTTATCCAGCGAGGCAAGAAGGCAGCGCTCCAACGGGGCTCTCAGTTTTGGTGTCAACTGCTCCAGCACTCTAAAGCTATGGGAAATAAAAACGACAACTCTGCAAGAATTTTGAGAAGGAACTCGAGCAACAAGGTTTGGCTCTGCAGGAAATTAAGAAAAGGGTCCAGACATTTTGGAGATTGCTTTGGGAATGCCACTCACCAACTGGCCTCCAACAGTCACAGCCCAGTGAGATACTCAACCTTCTCAATAACAGGAGGCGAGCGGCAATTTCGCCGCCGACTCTGGCTAATGATCCCCCCCCCCCCCCCATCCTGGAGTCAATCAACGCACCAGCGCATGATAAGTCATATGACAGATCCAATTTCAGTCATTCTAGCAGGAAAGACACTGCCTCTCAGAGACTCCATTTTAAATTTTTATCAAAAGTACAGACTTAAATCTACACATCAGTTTTTAAATCGTGTTGATAGACCAAGTAAAGCCAGAGTTATGATCAATAATCCATGTTACATATTTTTCTGAAATCATCATCATATCTGAAGTGTGTTAGAGCGAGAGGCTGCAGCAAAGACGGGTTCAGGAACAAAACACCCCCCATCACCCTCCATTTTCACCTCCCACCCCCGCCGAACAAATAAACAACCTCCCCCCTCCTTTCTGATGGAGGTTCGAAGTTATTTGTCAAGCGCCAAAAAATCTACAGGAGGAGGAAGAAAAAGACGCAGAAGTTGAATGGAGTTCGGCGCAGTAAAGACGGAGAGAGCGGGAGTGAGTCATGAGGTTTGAGAGATTTGCGATGTTTAGCTCGTTTGGGTTTTATAGTTCGGTTGTAGTTTAGTCAGTTTTAGTGTGTTTGAGTCAAAACAATGAGATAATTTTTGAACGTGAGGTGGACAGAGCTGCGGACCCAGGGTAGGACGGAACCATCGAGTTAGAACCATGAAGAAGGAAAAATCACGAAGCAGAAAAACGGTCCGAGTCAGACGTTGTTGATGAAGAGGGTGATTGCGATTTGTTTTTGAAGAGGAAGAGTGGACCGAGTCCACCTAGGAGGTCTGACTCTGCGCAGAAAAGGGGCCCAGACCCCGTTTGACTGGACCAACAGAACCAAGCATGAGTTCTGAGCTCTGGAGAACAGAGGAGGATGTGGACCCGGAGGGCGGACTAATGGAGGAAAATGCACTTTTTAAAAAATAAATTACCGTAAAATAAATATTTTGTCAATTTAAAAAAAAGTGTAGTGTGTAGTTTTTAAACAAAAAACCCTTAAGCTGGTGAAGATAAAAATAAAGTCCAGTTGCTTTTGTATTGAACGCTTTTTGAAAAAACCCTTAAAGCATTAGATGAAAATAAATAATTTAAATGTAATATTTTTATTTCAGGCTCTAGAAGACTGACTAGATTTTTGTGGAAAAATATTTTAAACTAGTATTTTAGCAGTGTAGTGGTATTTACTAGTATTTCCATCCATCCATCATCTTTACCCGCTTCTTCAATTTTGGGTCACAGGGGTCGACGGTGCCCATGTCACTGTGCGAGGGGCGGGGGACACCTGGACAGGTCTCCAGTCCATCACAGGGACACATAGAGACAAACAACCATTCACTCTCTCACTCACCTAGGGACAATTTAGAGTTACCAATCAGTCTAACATGCATGTTTTAGTCTGTGGGAGGAAACCGGAGCACCCGGAGAAAACCCACGCAGCACGGAGAGAACATGCAGACTCTACCCAGAAAGATCAGACTGGGATTTGAACTGGCAACCTTCTTGCTGAGAGGCAGCAGCTCTACCAGTTGTAGCACCGTGCTGCCCTTACTTTGAAGGAGTTAAATAATGTGGATGATTTCCCCTGAGGAACATGAATAAATAAATAAAGTTAAAAGGTTAAAACAGTCTTATTGAAATGTTCACAACATGATGCTTTGACGTGGATCAGATTTCATGATCTTTGTAGTTACAGAAAACAAAGTGAAGTTTTTGAGCTGCATGCATTCAGCTGGGACTGCTGCAAGATAAAGAATAAAGATAAATTCATTTAATAGATTCTTGTAAATGTGTTATCTCACTCAACAAATTGATTGACAGCTGCTGCAGATTATGACTTCATAACTCTTTCCACGCGTGTGATGCTGGTGAGACATTCTCATCAGTGATCAGAGCTCAAACCGTCTGTCTTCACCAACATTTCACCAACAGAACATCTGAGTTGATGTTGGAAATGACTCCAGCCTCCTGCTCTGAGCCGTTGGCCTCCTACTCTAAAAGTTATCGAGAAGGCTGCATTAAATGTTAAAAACAATAACGGGGGGATTTGTTTTACATTTTGCAAATCTTTTGTGGAAGCGTTTTGCGTGTTAAGTGTTAAACCTATCAGTTACCTTGCCTTCATCCATGGGATTATCACTGATGTGCACAACAGGCCCTGGATGCGTCTTGGTGGATCTGTAACAGACAAGTGGTAGTTTAGGGCATTTTATTAATACTTGACTGTGATTTAACATTACATTTTAAAAAAGTAATTTAAAAAAATTGGTTTTAAGAGTTATACAAGCAGACAATTAAAAAAAAAAGTTATCAAAAATTAAAAACCAAACCATTTTTACTCCTCGCAATGCAAAAAGAAGAAAATGAAGGATTCAAATATGGATCTGTGCAGCAGAGGCACAACATAAGAGACTAGAAGAAGAAGAGCACGAGGGTCTTAGAGGAATGATAATGTGTGGAGACAGGATCACCGAGGCAACAGAGTGAGGGGCATGGAGGAAGAGAGGATGTGGCCTAAAGTGTTGCTGCCTCAGAGTGAGGTCTGGCTCTGCCGGCTAATGATCTCATTTCTGCTGAGAGTCAATACAGCCAGAGATGTCGCAGTGAGTAAAAAGCAACGACGAACAAGAAGATGAACTCCAGTCACCCCACGTAACGAAGCACTCGTAGAAACGAGCCGTACGCAGGTCGAGTCAGGCTTATACAAAAAGCAAGCAAGGCAGAGAAAATATGTTAAAACATGACATTTATATGATTTCATAAGAACTGCAAATAATAATAATCAGCATCATTCATGTTTTAAACGTCATAATCAAGTAAAACAAAACGTCATTCATGAATTAGAAGCTTAAAGAAACGTGTAAGCGTTTATCAAACTGTAAGTTGTTCCAGGACAGAATGTTTGAACACGTTCATCAGGTCAAAAGTAACTTTAAAGAAAACCAGTTCAGTTATGAAGGTGACCTCAGGGTCAGAGGTCACGGTCAGTAGAGAGCACCTTCATGTGATGCACCGACCTACAGTGGTGCTAGAAAGTTTGTGAAGCCTTTATAAGTTTCTATATTTCTTTATAAATATGACCTAAAACATCTTCAGATTTGCACAGAAGTCCTAAAAGTAGATCAAGAGAACCAGGAAAACCAACGAAACTAAACATTTTGGGTTTGGATTATTTTTAGAGGCACCTCTTGCGCACATCTGCACAGCTCTGCATCACGGCTACGGTGAAGGAACCAAAGCTTAAACTTAAGACAGAACATGTGGGCCAGTATGGGATTTTGATGGTGATCATCTTTATTTAAAAACATCAAGGCAAATAATTTTATATCTGCCGCCTAAAAATCACATATGCTGAATTATGATTATATTTTAAGCATCGTAGTGATATGTTTTTAGTTATTTTAAATTTACTGCACAGAAATACAAAGATTGAGAACTCAAGTGAACACGTCTCAGTTTCTCCTATGATCAGATCAAAGTTATGAACAACATTTTTATTTACAGTGATACTTAAAATCAAGGCTCATTATATTTAATTTTAATTTCAGGTGTTGAGACTTTGTAAATTTAACACTAGAGTCAGAATGCCATTTAAAAAAACAGTAATTCAAGTTTTGCACCCAGAAACAAAGTGTTTCCCATTAAAAGAAATAAAAAGGAAAAAAAACTGACCAACTCCACAGGTTTCAAACAAATGGCACAACAAAACTCTAATGCTAAACTAAGAATGCTTTGTTGCACATTCTGTACATTAAAACTTCTGTTGTTCTGCAACATCATAAAAAAGTAACATTTAACGCCTGACCAGACAGTATTAAATGAGTGTGCTGCATATTTCATTTAGAGCATGCTAACCAACCAATCAGACATTTTTTTAAAGGATCATGAAGGTTTCTTCTTCAACGACGGAGTGAAATCTGGTTTTAAAAAGTAACGCCAATTAAACATTCTATAATGTAAAATAAGCGCTGGCACAAAAATTGACCTGGACACCATTGATTAATCGTCTTCCACCTCAATCATTTGAGGAAACTATAATTTCTAGTACAGCAGTCCCTCGCTACTTTGCGGTTCATTTATCGTGGACTCGCACCATCGTGGTTTTTCAAAATAAGAGTGGACGTGACGCACAACTGGCTGATTGATGGATGAGCCGAACGATCGGCATGGAATTTTTATTTAAAATAAATTATTTTGATTTAGCACCTCCTGCTCCTTTGTGTAGCCCACACTGCTGCAGGGTAAACTTCCTGCTGCAGCTTATCAGCTGATCAGGATGCAGAGCAGAGAAATGGGCGTGGCCAAAAGCGCTTGCAGGTGGCAAAGAGCAGAGGAGGCAGAGAGCCGAGATCATGACATTCTGTGCTGTTTTAGAGCGTTTGGAGTTTAAAAACATTGTTTAGAATATTGCAAGAGTGTGGTTTAAAATGCCATATAATAAACTACTACTTACTACTTGTACAAATATTCCTACTTCATGGTGTTCCACTTATCACGGGTCTTCAGGGTACGGCTCTGCCATGATAAACGAGGGACTACTGTATCTGAAATGACGACCTTTCTTACGCCTACAAGCAGCAACATGCTGCAATGAAAGTCAAAAAACATTAAATCTCAGCCTCAGTTTGTCACACGGCACATCAAAGGCTCCTTGGTGCTTTTAGCAGCCGGCCCTGGATGGCTTGTAAAGATGGAGGATCAAATCAACTTACAGGAACATCCTGGAGGCCAATGTGATGCCGTCTGATAAAGAGCAGTTACGTGCAGTCTCTCCGTCTCACCTGCTGAAGCTCGTACCACAGACAGAGCGGTCACAGGTGTCTTGGTGGTCTCGGTTTGTGAGGGAGGTCTTCTCTTGGTGGATTTACACAAGTCCCATACTCCTTCCATTTGTTGATGACCATGGAACTCTTCCTATATCCATCCCCCTGACTTGTACTTTTCACACATCTATTCTCTGAGTTGAATTAGGAGTCACTTTAAAAAGGAGGTGAATATGTATGTATGCAGTCACTTATTTACTTTGCACATGGTTATTTACTCAGTCTGTAAAATAAATAAATAAATAAATAAGATAGATAGTGAGAGTGGGGAGAGAGATTTCTTTGAAAAAAGGCTCATATCGACCATGACTGATTTCTAAACAGCACTAAAAAGGGTCAAACATTCGAGGGGTGAAAACTTATGTGCACTCTCTCCTTTGTAGGAACAATACATTTTTTACAGTTCTGTCATTGGAACGATTTAACACTGTGGTACAGCTTGAAACTGAAAACCAACCGCTCCTGGAAACCTACTCACGAATGGATCCATGCTGTGCATGAGATATAAAGCTCCTTATGTTTGAATATCTACAAGAGGAGGTGGGTGACGCACAGAAGTCATGAGGGTTATCAAATAAGTGTGTCCTGTAAAAGAAGTTCTGTTAAATCAAGCAGCCAACACTTCTGAACAACTCAGAAGCAAATCCTGGCAAGGACCGATCACCGTGCGACTTTCACTGGGATCAGAGCTGCAGCGTGATCAGCTTCCAGGACACAACATCAACACACAGCGACGTTCACATTCCTTTGCATCTTCAGAAGTTCCTGCTTGAGCGAGGACTGAACACATGCACAAAGGAGACATGCAAAAGGCCGGTGAAGGAGGAGGGATAGAGCAGAGGGTTGTTAACTCACAGTTCGATGGCTTTGTTCCACATAATAACGTAGCCTGAGAGAGTGAAGGACTCCACGTTGACGATGTGGATGTTTCCCCGCTCTGAGCCGATGTACAGCCATTTGCTCTGGAAGGGCAGGTGGCAGTATGTGATTCTGCAAGAGATCAGGACGCATCACCAGCAGGCTTTTCATTAGCCCCTGACTCAGTCCCATCACAGAGCTCCTGCTTGTCCCTAATCATGATGGTCCAACTGGAAGGAGCGCTGAAGGACTGGGATTTAATTACAAAGGCCTGGCACTGTGCCACACTAATGAAGCCCGACTATTTATAACTCAGTGGGAACGGCACGATAAATGCTGCTGGCTCCTCTCCACCGACAGGAAGACCGATTTGGTCACAACATATAGAGAAGAAAATGTGCTAACGGTAAACATGCTGTTTAAACTTGATGTCTACAGAGATGTTATGACATTTTACTGACATACAAGGCAATTAAAAACACAATGTTTAGCTTTTATTACTAAAGAGAACTATAACTGTAATTAGTTGTGCCTGCAGTGTTTCTCTGAGGTTACATGCCTTGGCAGGGTGCTCATGTCTTCGCACATTTTTGTTGACAGGGGTGGGGGGCGTGGAGAGACGGTTGTGCGTCTGTATGTTAGTGCCAGCAGTTCTCGACGAGGGGTGGGGGGGTATGCATGAGAGAAGCAGAGCGCTACGTCCATGGCTACATCTATAGTTTTTTTAGCAAGTGCGTCTGTATTGTGCACAGCTAGCTTAGCGCTACATCAATGCCGGCAGTTGTTGACGGGGGTGGCGGAGTGGGGGGGGATGTGGGTGAAGGACAATTTTGGTAGGCGGGGTGCTTGGTTCTGTGGACAGTGCAGGGCGCCCTCCTTGGATAACGGTCGGGGAAACACTGGCTGTGTTGGGCCTTTTTACAGAACCAGTGGTCAGTAGCTGAGGGATTTGAATAGTGAGTGTTTGTAGTTTTTGAGATGAGTGTTTTTCTCCATGTATATGTATATCCATCCAGAAAAACACTCATCTCAAAAACTACAAACACAACTGCAAGCAGAGAAAGTCAAACAAGTCTGTACCTCTCCCGATTAAACTTGAGCGAATGCAGTATAGCGGGGATTTTTTGCCTCAGGTTCCACAGGTGGACGCTGTCATCAGCTAAGGCACTCACCAGTGCCCCCTGTGGAGACGACGACAAACACATCAACATCAAGAAAATGTCACTTGGCTTAGATATTTTCTCTAGTTACTACAGACACATTAGGGGCAGCAGCATTGGGATGCTGTTCAACAGTTCAAGGATCAACATTGATTTGTGGCGTTACACGACACTGTTCACACCTGCTGCCAAAAACTGGGAAAGAGAAATTCAGGAGAAGAATGGACAGACTGGGAGTAAAGAGGAGAAGAAGAGGAGAAGACAAACAAGGCCATGAGGATCAGGAGAGGACGACGCACCTCGTTGATGAGGAACTGGAGCTGGATAACGGCGGCACCGCTCTCGTGCTGACAGTAGCTCTCCACGCCTGCACGGCCGAAGCTTAAAGTTGGCTCCGTTAAAGGAAACAAGCAGGAACGGTTGCTGGAGGACGTCACGCAGAAACGGAGACGAAAATCTTTTCCCACAATAGTCTTTTGAAAAGGCCAAGTTTAAAAATGAAGAAAAAAATTAAAATAAAAAGGTTGAACAACCAAAAGTGGCGAGTTGGAGCCTTTTTCATTCCCACATACACATCTGTAAGCCTGAGCAACAGACATGTAGAACACTCACGCTCTATGATGCAAAGAATTCACACGTGATCCTCCTCCAGAGACGCTTCCACTTCCTCGGGACCAAAGCTCGTTTAAAATGGACTGAGGTAATATACAAAACTGTTCTGTGATCAGAAACCAAAGTTTGAAATCGTTTTTTGAAAACCACAAAATGCCCCACCCTCCAAAATAAAGCGTAGAGGGACCTTCCAGTTTGTTATCAGTGCTCAGTTCAGCCTCTCTAATGGTATGGGGGTGTATTGGTATTAGTGTCTATGGAATGGAACAAGTAGGATCCTGTATCAGCTCAGGGCTCCCGTCTGCCTCATGCTGCAGAGACAAACTGTAAGATGAGAAGTGTGTTTTGACCAGCCCCTTACAGACTGGGGGGGGGGGTATCGTGATTATTGTAAAGCTGTAAAAAAGTCAGTTGTGCTCACTATCTGTGTCCACTTTGAGCAGTGACTGTAAAAACTAAAGTCTGAGCAGGATTAAGCGAGCTGTGGTCAAACAATCCTTCAGCTCCTTGAACAAACTAAGGAGGGGCTGCAGGAGATGTTTTCAGGACACACTCCATCTCACAAACCCACAGGACAACTCAGACTTTAAGGCTGAGAGCAGCAGAACTCAGGTGGACCCAAGACCTTACTGACCCGTTTCAACTCTTCACCCTTAAAGTTCAGTACATTTGTCAGCATTTTAAAACAGGAACAATGTTCCCACAGTGGAGAGGGAAATTTATTTTGTAGGTTTCACATGCGTGATGTAATAGAGCCGGATCATATGATAAATAAAAGCGTGTTAGTTTTGCACAAGCACGCAGTGACAGACCACTCCTGCTGCAGTGTGGGCCAACAGGGCTGCTGAGCCAAGCAAGCAGGAAGCTACAGAGTCAAACCTCAAAGCTAGATTTTATCAGAAGGAAAGCGTTCTTTAAAACTTCCTCCCACAGTTTACGATGGCCTAACAAGCCTCAGGTACAAACTACACTTGGGGCTCAAGATTGAGCAGTTAACACGTTTCCCTTTGTGACGTTATTTCATCGGTTTAATAAATAAGCTCTATGAGGAAGTCACATCACACTCGTCATATGTTTATATTACATGTTGTTGTAAAGAAATCCTACTTTTATTGCTAATAAATGAGAGAGCTCAGCTGCCAGCGTTTTGTTAGCGAAATAACAAGTTCTACTTTTTTGTCTTTCAAGGCGGCCCCGACTCAAGAAGTTGGAACGTTGCGTGAAATGTAAATTAAAACAGAATAAAATAAACTCGTTTGGTTCTTTTATTTCTTCTTGTTTGGACTATTGTAGCAGATTATTCAAGTTTAAACAAGAAGGAGCTGGATCATAATGTTGTCCAGGTTGTTGGTGCTACGCCGCACCCATTTTAAACCTTGTGGAGATGTTTCACCCCTGAAGCGTACAGCCCCACTCCTTACACAGCCTAGCTTCTATTGAGGCTACTGAAAAACATCTGAAGACGTCCTTTTGAAACATAATTTCAGAACAATGTTCCTCAACAAGAAAATAGGGAAAGCTCTGAAGTAGAGCCCGACCGATACATCGGTAGGACCGATGATTTCGGACGATATAGACGTTTGGGGACCTATCTGTGATAACTGTCCCATTATGAGTCGATATAAGCACTTCTAAGCACTCTTCTCTGAGCCTAGAACACAAAATGTTCTGTTGAGTTTTTGGGCAGCAGCAGGAACCCTTGGATGTTTCTTCAGACATTACCAATAATAAACTCACTGAACGTAGAAAAGAATTTCCTCTTTGTTCCCAAGAGTCTTAGGACATTAAACACTTAAGTCATCCCCTTCAACATCAACACTTCTCCATTTTGGTAAGCTGTGGCGGTCGACCGCAGCATTGCTACCGTACGCAGCTTTTCTCCTGAAGCCTGACAATTACCCTCTGGAGAGGAAATTTTCTTTATTGGGCTCATTTACAAAACAACACATCGTTTTCCAGAGTCGTTCGAAAAGCCAGTCAATTTCAAAAGAGCAGGAAGCAGCGGGGATGATCAGATGAGCAGTATTTCAACACCAAGCGCTGAACTACTTCCACACTTCAAGCATGACACGTCGCCTGCAAGAGCAAACTTGCAGAAAGCAGTCCATTCTGCTCCACCAGTGAAAGTCCAAGAAAGGCCGAGCGTTCCTTGAAGGAACGCATAAAGTCTCTGCTGTTCATGCCAGGACTGAGACGATCTCGTGCTGAACAGTGACACGTTCGAGGCGTTTTGGTCAAACCTTAAATAAGTAATATGCACCGCCTCACAGAATGTGCTAGAACGACTCTCAGCTACTACCACACCAAATGTTAGCTCAAGATCCATCAGTTTGACAGAGTTAAAGCCATTTTAGTGTTTTTTGAAGGCGAGTTGACCGTGGTGGCCATCTTGAAATGGGATGGCTCCAAAAGTTAATCAGTTGTAGACATCCATCCATCCATCCGTCCATCGTCCGTCTGTCCATCATCTTTACACACTTCTTCCTTTTCAGATCACGGGGGTCACTGGTGTCCATATCTAGCAGTCACTGTGTGAGAGGCAGAGGACACCTGGACATGTCTCCAGTCCATAACAAGAGACAACCACCTAGGGTCAATTAGAGTTACCAATCAGTCCAACATGCATGTTCTTGGTCTGTGGGAGGAAACTGGAGAACCCGGAGAAACGCAGCACGGAGAGAACATGCAAACTCCACCCAGAAAGACCCTTGGCTGGGATTTGAACCGGTGACTTTCTCGCTGAGAGGCGGTAGCTCTACCAATTGTACCACCGTGCTGCCCTTGTTGTAGACATACATCCAATAATCATTTCCTGAAAACTTTATCAAAATCCGTCCAGTAGTTTATTAGATAATTTGCTAATAGAGCGAGTAGACTTTAAATTGTTTTTAACAAGTCAACAAAGTCCATGCTCAACAATCCAGGTATACAATCCAACAATTTTCAGTCAGGTCATCTGGACTTTTTTTTTTTTGTGCCGAAACGTTTCACCTTCCATCCAGAAGGCTTCATCAGTCAAGGAAACGCACAACACAAAACTGATTCTTCCCCCAACAGCTAAAGTGGAACAAACCAGTTATGTTGATGCTAAGATGGTGTCTTTGGTACGCCCCTCCTCCGGTGCCGGCCCTCTCCCTCATGTCAAACTGGTTCAAAACCAACAAAGTCCAAAATTTGAATAAAGAACTTGCTCAGAATTTCTGATGGATTATCTTCTACTACTCATTACATTTTGGCTCATTAGCTGTAAAACCGACAAACGTTTATCTCTGCGTTTTGTACGGTCTGATGGTTGTGGCAGCCATCTTGAATTGGGGCGACTCCAATAGGTTATCAGCTGTAGAGACATCCAACTTCCCGAGAGGCTCATTAAAACGTGTCTCACGGTTTATGAAACAGATATAACAACACACTCAGACACAAGCAAACCTCGAGTTGTACAGTTTAAATGTTTACTGTCAACACGACCACGTGACCAAAACAAGCCCTGGGAAAAGCAGGAAGTGCTGATTGAACATGCTGATTAAAACACCGTAGCCGAGACAGATCTAGTAAAAGCAGACATTTATTGCTTGTAGACACCTCATTGAGCTCAAGTCTTCCGAGCTGCGCCAGCGTTTCCAAACTCCCGGGGCCGATCGATGCAGCTCGTCTTTTGATAAATGGACCAATTGCTCGAGCGACGGTAATCCCATCGGCTTCACCTCGCACATGAAGAGCTACGTGGAAGCTGTGTGTGTTCTCTGGGAGTCGCCACGCGAGAACAAGAACACTCTCTTAATCTGCTGAGCGAATAAAGACGAGGACAGAGCCCCTTCTAATGAACATCTAAACCAAGACCAACAGCAGTCCAGCTCAGCTCCAGGCTCCAGCTCACACAGGTGAACCCCGAGGACATGCAGGGGGTGGTGGTTCCAAATGAAAAACTGACTTCCAGCTGCCTGAGAGGCGCACGCACAGCAACGTGACAGCTCGATTCTGTGTGCGCGGCCAGTTCTTATTGTTCCATATTTTCCTAACAGAGCACTTCGCTCTCAGACTGCAGGTTGACTTGTGGTTTCTAGAGATTCCTAAAGCAGAATGGGAGGAAGATCTTTCAGTTCTCAGGCTCCTCTCTTGTGAAACCAACTTCCAGTTTCTGTCCGTGAAGCTGACACGTTGTCCGGTTTTAAAACTACGCTCAGGACTTTCCTTTTTGATAAATCCTATAGTTAGGGTTGGCTTGGGTTTCTTGACCTATCCCTTAGTTATGCTGCTATAAGCTTAAACTATTGGAGGACAATTTTACCTCATTTCATCAAGTGAATAGTTACAAGTTAATGCAAATGAATAGTTTGTATTTGTAATTATTTCTCTCTTATTTATTTATTTTTCCTCCTAGTGACGACCTGCTCTCCTGCGCTCCTCCATTCTGGACCCGTCTTTCTGTGTTTGCCCTCCTCTCCTTCCTGTCCTCTCAAACTCACCCAGTTGAAGCAGATGGCCGCTCGTCCTGAGCCTGGTTCTGGTAGGTAGTTTTTTCTTTCCACTGTCTCCTTTGTGCTCGCTCAGGATGGGAGACTGTGACGAAGTGAAGATTAAACACAATCTTCTGCTCCCTCCCTCCTTTAACTCTTACTAACTGGTATCTAGAATGGATGTGAATGTTTTTGTTCAGTGCCCTGAGACGACTTCTGTTGTGACTTGGAGCTTTAGAAATGAACTGGATTCTTGTTTACAGCACATATGAAAAGGCATCCTGGCACTGACGAGGCCACACAGCTGATGAGGCCGACTCCACAACATATGGTGGGGGGGCTGATCGTGCACTAATGAGCTTGGTGCTCCAGGAGATGGAAGCTGCTGGCTGCACAGCAACACATCCTACCATGAGCCTACCTGCCTCCTCCGGTGTGGTACGGATCATTTTTTGGCACCGTGTAAAAAAACAAATCAGTTTCTGGGTGAGGTTTGACTTTGTGGAACCCTGAATGACAACAGAAAAAAAATCTAAGTGTTTAAACTACAAGATGGTTCCATTTTTAGAATGAAACAAAAAGGTAATTCTGAAATTAATGTTCTCGAAAAAGTCAAAACTGGTGAAACAAAAGGCTGTAAAAATAAGTAGTACAAATACAAAACAGCTGGAGAAGCTTTTTACAACTAATTGGGTTAATTAACAACAGGTCAGCTGAGGTTTGGGCATCAAAAATGCACTTTAGAGGTTGAATCTCTCAGAAGTGAAGCTGGGCAGAAGTTCACCAGTCTGCAAGAACTGCCTCTCAAAACCATGGAACAGAATAATGTTCAATGATGAAAAATTGGGACAACTTTAGAATGTCCAATTATCTAAAGTTCACAAGATCGCCAACATCTTAAAAAACCTATAGAGCTCAAGACAAAGTGAGCACTGGATGCCTGTGATCCTCAGGCCCTCAGGAGGCACCGATTTAAAACTGGTCTGATTCTGTTAGGAACAAAGCAGAGTCTGAAACGCAGCAGTTCCATTAAGAAGGCTGCTTAAAGCTTCAACCTACAAACAAGAAGTCAAATGTGGTCATGCAGAAACACCACCGTCTTCTCTGCGCCAAGGTTCATTTAAAATGCACGCAGGAAAAATGGAAAAGTGTTCTATGGTCAGACCAATCAGTTGTTTTGGAAACCACCATGTCATCTGTATAAGAGAAGAGAGGATTCCAGCTCATCATTTGAGCACAGTTTAAAAACCTGCCTCTCTGATGGTATGGAGGTGCATGAGTACCTATGACATGGGCAGCTTACACATCTGGATGTATAAACATGTCATGTATGTTTAAAGACTGAGGTCCCCTCTTCTTATACCTCTTAGGAAGAGGGGATGCTTCATGGTGGTAATTTGGTCCCATCACGTTTGTTTTAATTGATAAGTTGACTTTATTCATCCATCCATCATCTTTACCCACTTATTCCTTTTCAGGTCACAGGGGTCACTGGTGCCCATGCCCATCAGTCACTGTGCGAGAGGCGAGGGACACCCTGGACAGGTCTCCAGTCCATCAGAGGGACACCCTGG